GTCAGCTTACCTCATGGCACGAATCCAGACTCTCCTTTGGAAAACATTGGCCGGGAAACGATAGAACGAGCACGTTTCATGCGAAGACCTGTGCTGTGGCTGCAACCCGGAGCAAAGCAACAAACCATTGCGTAGCTACCTAGTAGCGCTAGCTTTAGCTAACGTTAGCTAACGAAACGAACTGCCGAGTAAAATTGGAAAACACTGGTAATTAATTATTCTATAATTTGCAAAACTACGGTGTTAAAAACGACAATTTCAAAAATACAGATTCTAATGGTCAGATATAGATATACAGATACTAAAGATAGGCAGGTACTTGCTTTCAAGCAGAACGCAGGGGAAAACAAACTTAGCTGGAGTGTTTACGTGTTAGGCGTAATGACGTACAACGGCCTCGACAATTTCTGTAGTCCTATTCCGCCACTCGGTAACAACCATCGTTTTTCAGACACGTAAACTCTTCAAAAATCACCAGTGGGGTCACTGCTGATGTATTTACAGTGTAATGTCGTAGAACAAAACGTGATTTATCTCTTAAATTTGTGTGAACCACAGACCTTATTTTGAGCTATTTTCCAAAACCCTATGGAAAAAATGCATTGCTTTTTGACGAAGGAACCGGAAGTGCTAAAAATGCTAACTTACTTCCGGGTTTTGCGACGCGTCACTGCGGTTCTCTATTGGCTTCCAAGCCAATATTTCAAGGATGCTACGTCATCAAGTGGCGCAGCAGGACCGTTCCAATGTCCAGCATACTTGGAATTCCACCGAGGCCGCGTCCTTGGTTTGGGAGAAATTTCGAGGCTGCACATGGGTAGACTTTGCGTCCTTCAAATCCCCACAATGCTTTGCGCACGGACCAATTTCCCTAAATCTGTGGCGGAAAATGTAAGGCGGGGCCTCTCATATGATGCACACTTGCTAGCCTGTTCCACTCTTCCTTTTCCGACGTTCCTTCGTTTGCCAGGAAGGATTCTTGCCTAGCTTCTGAAGTAAGTGACTCGGAAGACATGTGCTACCAAGCTAGCGTCCTCGCGATTGAGAAACGGCCCCGGAAATGGTTTTCGGCGCGCCATGTTGAAGGCATCCAATTTCTCTAAATGCACATCAAGGAGCGAGGATCGAGCGTCGAGGAGGCTCTCTGGAGGAGCTATAACCGAGGATACACTGATGGGTCCTCCACGGCTCCTCTGCGGATGCATTTCCGGCAACAGTGATGTTCCAAAGAGTCGTTACGCACGGCCGGACTTATCTCAGCCAATGACAGTTCTGCATGCATCCCCTGGATATTATTTTATTAACTGCTATCATCGCAACGCAATGTTTACAGTGAGAACAGCTGTGAGGTCTGTGCAGAAAGCAGAGCAGTGTGTATAATATATATCACTCAGTATAACAGGCCTACATTATTACTCTCTTTATTTGCTTTAGTTTAGTAGATATCTACAAACAAAGAGTCGATATTTGTCTAAAACCATTTAGTGCTTCACATAATAAAATGCACAACGGCTGTAGCCTGATATTATATGCTTAGTTTAGGAGCTGTAGGTGCGTGTTTAACAGTGTGTAGGTGCGTGTGGTACAGTGTGTGTGTGTGTGTGTGTGTGTGCGCGTAGATGCGGCGGACGGACAGGTATCAGTTGGTTTGGTGTCCTATGCTTACTTGTAATACTTGTAAATAAAACCTTTGGCCCGTAATTTTATTTCCTCATTGTAGCGACCCGAGGGGGGGGGGGGGGGGGGGTGGGATTACATTACATTATTACATTACATTGCATTTAGCTGACACTTTTATCCAAAGCGACTTACAATAAGTACATTCGACCAGGAAGACACAACCTTGAAGAAAACAGAATCATATAAGTACATCAGGTTTCATAGAGCCAAACATTTCAAGTGCCACTCAACTGGCTTTAGATAAGCCAGTCCTTTATTAGTATATAAGTGCTCTGTTAGCAGTTCTTTGTTAGTAATTCTATCGCTCGAGGTGGAGTCGAAAGAGATGAGTTTTCAGTCTGCGCCGGAAGGTGTGTAAGCTTTCTGCTGTCCTGATGTCAATGGGGAGCTCATTCCACCATCTTGGAGCCAGGATAGCAAACCCACGTGTTTTTGCCGATGGGAACTTGGGTCCCCCTCGCAGCGAGGGTGCAGCGAGTCGTTTGGCTGATGCAGAGCGTAGTGCACGCGCTGGGGTATACAGTTTAACCATGTCCTGGATGTACGAAGGGCCAGATCCATTCGCAGCACGATAAGCAAGTACCAGTGTCTTGAAGTGGATTCTAGCAGTTACCGGAAGCCAGTGAAGGGAGCGGAGGAGCGGAGTGGTGTGTGAACATTTTGGAAGGTTGAAGACCAAACGAGCCGCTGCATTCTGGATGAGCTGCAGAGGTCGGATGGCACATGCAGGTAGACCAGCCAGGAGGGAGTTGAAGTAGTCTAGGCGTGAGATGACGAGAGCCTGGACCAGAACCTGCGTCGCTTTCTGTGTCAGTTGGGGATGTGTCTTCCTGATGTTGTAAAGCGTGTATCTGCAGCAACGGGTTGTTGCATATCAATAATATATATCCAGTCTCTGATAGTGTTACGTTATTGTGCTGTGAGTGCTCTCATACTTGTTTGATTCTGAAATTGTATATCCTGGCTCCAAAATTGTGGAATGAGCTCCACATTGAAAACAGGACAGCAGATAGCTTGCACATCTTCCGGGGCAGACTAAAAACTCATCTCTTTTGACTCCACTTCGAGCGATAGAATTACTAACAAAGAATTGCTAACAAAGCACTTATATAGGCTACTAATAAAGGACTGGCTTATCTAAAGCCAGTTGAGCAGCACTTGAAATGTTTTAGCTCTATGAAACCTGATGTACTTATATGATTCTGTTTTCTTCAAGTTTGTATCTTGTTGGTCGAATGCACTTATTGTAAGTCGCTTTGGATAAAAGCGTAAGCTAAATGCAATGTAATGTACTATTTATATAAATATATATATATACCTATATATATATATATGTGTGTATATGTCGGAATCTGTATTCTGTTTATGTCTCATTATACCGCACTGTGAATTAATGAAAAGTAAATATATAAATCATCATGAACACAGTTCTGTCCATCAGACAGAGGGCTGTGCCTCCTGCATCATTAATGGACGTCTATTTAAAATGACCGCTCAGAGGAGAGGATTTCTCATTTCTCTAACCGCCTGCTGCTTCCCCTCCTCTCTCATTGGTTCCCCTCCTCGGCTCCTCCGCTCGCATGGCTCGCATCTCCTGTGGGACTAAGACATGAGGATAGGGCCGTTTCTCAATCTCGAGGAAACTGGCTTCCAAGCCAATATTTCAAGGATGCTACGTAATCGAGTGCCGCCGAAGGACTGTTCCAATCTCCAGCATACTTGGAATTCCACTGAGGCCGCGTCCTTGGTTTGGGGGTAATTTCGAGGCTGCACATGGGACTTCGCGTCCTTAAAATCCCCACAATGCTTTGCGCACGGACCAATTTCCCAAATCTGTGGCGGAAAATGTAAGGCGGGGCCTCTCATATGACGCACACCTGCACACTTGCTAGCCTGTTCCACTCTTCGTTTTCCGAATGCCAGGAAGGATTCTTGCCTAGCTTCTGAAGCAAGTGACTCGGAAGACATGTGCTACCAAGCAAGCATCCTCGCAATTGAGAAACGGCCTAGGAGTCGAGGAGGGGAAATTAGTGAAATGAGAAAGGCCCCTTGTCACCTGAATCTCCTCCTAGAGCACCATTGTGTTTTTTTTAATCAATCATCTCTCAGACAGGCGTGGCCAGCAGCTGCTCATTTGCATTTAAAGCTACAGACACAGAATCAGCACTTTTGAAACAGGGCTGAAACAGAAGGGTTTAATTGCATGATACAATGCATGAGCTGTTTGGTATTTCGAGCCAAACACTTTAGAGACATGTTTTGTATATAAGAAGAAGATGAAACTTCTTCTTTACTTAAACTTAACTTAACTAATGTGTATTTAAAAAAGAGGAATAGTTTTGGCGAAAACTAAAAGGTACCATGGGGTGCAGGAATTTGTTTTGGTTTCAAGACCCTGGTTCACGGAGGATACCAAAAAAGTCCTAGAAAGACAAGGTAAACTGAAATATATGCATTTAAAAAAGAGGAATAGTTTCGGCCGATAACTAAAAGGTACCATGGGGTCGGATTAGATTTTTCCAAAGGGGGGTTCGTTTAGCATGAAACACTTGAAATAACTAAAGGGCCATGAGTGTTTTTAAATGCCATTTTATATTGTTGCTTTTAAATGAGTGTTTTTAAATGTCATTTCATAATATGTTTCTGAATGTCTTTCATTTTTGTAAAGCATTTTGAATTGCCTTGTGTTGAAATGTGCTATATAAATAAACTTGCCTTTCCCAAGGAGGAAATTCAGTTTACACACACACAGTTTTACACTCTATACTGTCTTTACAGATAGGTTGCACACATGCATCTGGAGAGGTGCCAGAGTGAAGAGGCTGCCAGTCTCGTCGGCGCCATGGAGCAGTTGGGGGTACGGTGCCTTGCTCAAGGGCAACTCGGCAGGGCCCAGGAGGCCAACTGGCACCTCTCCAGCTACAAGTCCACACTCCATATTATATATCTGAGACCTATAGTATATTGTTGAAAAAGAGTATGCCCGGGGACCTTTAAGCCAGACACCCCATTTATATGATATTATGACTGATGTTTTGTACACTGTAGTGGAAAGAAGTATTTCCATCCGGCTTTAGGAAATTAAATTTAGGAGATGTGGTATATGTATATTTCACCAAACACCCCTCTATCATTTACATTTATTAATTTAAAAATGTTTTAAATCTCAAATGAGAAACACTCTATATTCTATTTATTTCTAAAAATAAACTTGTAAAAGCTAAAAAGGTAAATGATTCTGTAAAGATATCTAACAATGAATGTATAAACTAATGCTGTAAATTCTGCATTTCAAGCTTGCAGTTTGAAGTGAAGTCTACCTGAGGAGAGAGGCACCTCGGTCAGGTCATAAATCTCCTCAGCCGAGTCTTTATCTTTTTTCTTCTTTTTTTCCTCAACAGGTCGCAGGAACGAGTGCTCCTCGGGATGACGGATATCTGTGTAGGTAAAAGAGAGCAAGTAATTAGTTTTATTAAAAAGACTATCTTTGTCTCAGATTTAATCAGATTCAGAATCGGAAATACTTTAATCCTCCAAGGGGGAAACAGTTTCTAGTGACAGTTGTTCCATTTCAGAATGACTAAAGTAAAATAAAATAAAATGTTTGAAGAGTTCTAAACTCTGTGATGCAACTGTTAAGGGCAATAGACTCAGTGTTTCAGACTCTGTGGCGCAACGGTAGCGTGACTCCAGTCTTTTAGACTCTGCAGAAAAATGGTAATCGCTTTTAAGATTAGAACATCTCTTGTCCAATCATGTCGGTTCAATATATCTTCTGTCCCACACTAAAGGTTGAATTGGCAGGTTTTTGGCAAGATCAAGAACTGTAACGGGCTCTGTGGCGCAACGGTAGCGCGTCTGACTCCAGATCAGAAGGTTGCGTGTTCAAATCACGTCAGGGTCAATATTTGTGTTTCATCAAAGAATGCAGATTCTCATTTCAAGACTTCAATAAGGAACTCAACTGACAACTACACAAAAAGCTATCAAGAGTCTTTTAGACTCTGCAGAAAAACGGTAGGAACCCTGAAGATTAGAACATCTCTTGTCCAATCATGTCAGTTCAATATATCTTCTGGCCCCACACTCAAGGTTAACTTGGCAGGTTTTTGGCACAATCGAGAACTGTAACAGGCTCTGTGGCGCAACGGTAGCGCGTCTGACTCCAGATCAGAAGGCTGCGTGTTCAAATCACGTCAGGGTCAATATTTGTGTTTCATCAAAGGATGCTGGTTCTCATTTGAAGACTAAATTAAGGCCCACAACTGAAAACTACAACCAATTCTATCAAGAGGTTTTTAGACTCTGCGGTTCAATGGTAATCGATTTTAAGATTAGAACACCTCTCATCCAGTCACGTCAGTTTAATATATCTTCTGGCCCCACACTCAAGGTTAACTTGGCAGGTTTTTGGCATAATCAGAAACTGAAACAGGCTCTGTGGCGCAACGGTAGCGCGTCTGACTCCAGATCAGAAGGTTGCGTGTTCAAATCACGTCAGGGTCAATATTTGTGTTTCATCAAAGGATGCTGGTTCTCATTTGAAGACTAAATTAAGGCCCACAACTGAAAATTACAACCAATTCTATCAAGAGGTTGTTAGACTCCGCGGTTTTATGGTAATCGCTTTTAAGATTAGAACACCTCTCATCCAGTCACGTCAGTTTAATATATCTTCTGTCCGCACACTCAAGGTTAACTTGACAGGTTTTTGGCATAATCAGAAACTGAAACAGGCTCTGTGGCGCAACGGTAGCGCGTCTGACTCCAGATCAGAAGGTTGCGTGTTCAAATCACGTCAGGGTCAATATTTGTGTTTCATCAAAGGATGCTGGTTCTCATTTGAAGACTAAATTAAGGCCCACAACTGAAAACTACAACAAATTCTATCAGGAGGTTTTTAGACTGCGGTTAAATGGTAATCGCTTTTAAGATTAGAACACCTCTCATCCAGTCACGTCAGTTCAATATATCTTCTGGCCCCACACTCAAGGTTAACTTGGCAGGTTTTTGGCATAATCAGAAACTGAAACAGGCTCTGTGGCGCAACGGTAGCGCGTCTGACTCCAGATCAGAAGGTTGCGTGTTCAAATCACGTCAGGGTCAATATTTGTGTTTCATCAAAGAATGCTGGTTCTCATTTGAAGACTAAATTAAGGCCCACAACTGAAAATTACAACCAATTCTATCAAGAGGTTTTTAGACTCTGCGGTTCAATGGTAATCACTTTTAAGATTAGAACACCTCTCATCCAGTCACGTCAGTTCAATATATCTTCTGGCCCCACACTCAAGGTTAACTTGGCAGGTTTATGGCATAATCAGAAACTGAAACAGGCTCTGTGGCGCAACGGTAGCGCGTCTGACTCCAGATCAGAAGGCTGCGTGTTCAAATCACGTCAGGGTCAATATTTGTGTTTCATCAAAGGATGCTGGTTCTCATTTGAAGACTAAATTAAGGCCCACAACTGAAAATTACAACCAATTCTATCAAGAGGTTTTTAGACTCTGCGGTTCAATGGTAATCACTTTTAAGATTAGAACACCTCTCATCCAGTCACGTCAGTTCAATATATCTTCTGGCCCCACACTCAAGGTTAACTTGGCAGGTTTATGGCATAATCAGAAACTGAAACAGGCTCTGTGGCGCAACGGTAGCGCGTCTGACTCCAGATCAGAAGGCTGCGTGTTCAAATCACGTCAGGGTCAATATTTGTGTTTCATCAAAGGATGCTGGTTCTCATTTGAAGACTAAATTAAGGCCCACAACTGAAAACTACAACCAATTCTATCAAGAGGTTTTTAGACTCTGCGGTTCAATGGTAATCGCTTTTAAGATTAGAACACCTCTCATCCAGTCACGTCAGTTCAATATATCTTCTGGCCCCACACTCAAGGTTAACTTGGCAGGTTTTTGGCATAATCAGAAACTGAAACAGGCTCTGTGGCGCAACGGTAGCGCGTCTGACTCCAGATCAGAAGGCTGCGTGTTCAAATCACGTCAGGGTCAATATTTGTGTTTCATCAAAGGATGCTGGTTCTCATTTAAAGACTAAATTAAGGCCCACAACTGAAAACTACAACAAATTCTATCAGGAGGTTTTTAGACTGCGGTTAAATGGTAATCGCTTTTAAGATTAGAACACCTCTCATCCAGTCACGTCAGTTCAATATATCTTCTGGCCCCACACTCAAGGTTAACTTGGCAGGTTTTTGGCATAATCAGAAACTGAAACAGGCTCTGTGGCGCAACGGTAGCGCGTCTGACTCCAGATCAGAAGGTTGCGTGTTCAAATCACGTCAGGGTCAATATTTGTGTTTCATCAAAGAATGCAGATTCTCATTTCAAGACTTCAATAAGGAATTCAACTGACAACTACACAAAAAGCTATCAAGAGTCTTTTAGACTCGGCAGAAAAACAGTAGGAACTCTGAAGATTAGAACATCTCTTGTCCAATCATGTCGGTTCAATATATCTTCTGTCCGCACACTAAAGGTTGAATTGGCAGGTTTTTGGCAAGATCAAGAACTGTAGCGGGCTCTGTGGCGCAACGGTAGCGCGTCTGACTCCAGATCAGAAGGTTGCGTGTTCAAATCACGTCAGGGTCAATATTTGTGTTTCATCAAAGAATGCAGATTCTCATTTCAAGACTTCAATAAGGAACTCAACTGACAACTACACAAAAAGCTATCAAGAGTCTTTTAGACTCTGCAGAAAAACGGTAGGAACCCTGAAGATTAGAACATCTCTTGTCCAATCATGTCAGTTCAATATATCTTCTGGCCCCACACTCAAGGTTAACTTGGCAGGTTTTTGGCACAATTGAGAACTGTAACAGGCTCTGTGGCGCAACGGTAGCGCGTCTGACTCCAGATCAGAAGGCTGCGTGTTCAAATCACGTCAGGGTCAATATTTGTGTTTCATCAAAGGATGCTGGTTCTCATTTGAAGACTAAATTAAGGCCCACAACTGAAAACTACAACCAATTCTATCAAGAGGTTTTTAGACTCTGCGGTTCAATGGTAATCGCTTTTAAGATTAGAACACCTCTCATCCAGTCACGTCAGTTCAATATATCTTCTGGCCCCACACTCAAGGTTAACTTGGCAGGTTTATGGCATAATCAGAAACTGAAACAGGCTCTGTGGCGCAACGGTAGCGCGTCTGACTCCAGATCAGAAGGCTGCGTGTTCAAATCACGTCAGGGTCAATATTTGTGTTTCATCAAAGGATGCTGGTTCTCATTTGAAGACTAAATTAAGGCCCACAACTGAAAATTACAACCAATTCTATCAAGAGGTTTTTAGACTCTGCGGTTCAATGGTAATCACTTTTAAGATTAGAACACCTCTCGTCCAGTCACGTCAGTTCAATATATCTTCTGGCCCCACACTCAAGGTTAACTTGGCAGGTTTATGGCATAATCAGAAACTGAAACAGGCTCTGTGGCGCAACGGTAGCGCGTCTGACTCCAGATCAGAAGGTTGCGTGTTCAAATCACGTCAGGGTCAATATTTGTGTTTCATCAAAGAATGCAGATTCTCATTTCAAGACTTCAATAAGGAATTCAACTGACAACTACACAAAAAGCTATCAAGAGTCTTTTAGACTCGGCAGAAAAACAGTAGGAACTCTGAAGATTAGAACATCTCTTGTCCAATCATGTCGGTTCAATATATCTTCTGTCCCCACACTAAAGGTTGAATTGGCAGGTTTTTGGCAAGATCAAGAACTGTAACGGGCTCTGTGGCGCAACGGTAGCGCGTCTGACTCCAGATCAGAAGGTTGCGTGTTCAAATCACGTCAGGGTCAATATTTGTGTTTTATCAAAGGATGCTGGTTCTCATTTGAAGACTAAATTAAGGCCCACAACTGAAAACTACAACCAATTCTATCAAGAGGTTTTTAGACTCTGCGGTTCAATGGTAATGGCTTTTAAGATTAGAACACCTCTCATCCAGTCACGTCAGTTCAATATATCTTCTGGCCCCACACTCAAGGTTAACTTGGCAGGTTTATGGCATAATCAGAAACTGAAACAGGCTCTGTGGCGCAACGGTAGCGCGTCTGACTCCAGATCAGAAGGCTGCGTGTTCAAATCACGTCAGGGTCAATATTTGTGTTTCATCAAAGGATGCTGGTTCTCATTTAAAGACTAAATTAAGGCCCACAACTGAAAACTACAACAAATTCTATCAGGAGGTTTTTAGACTGCGGTTAAATGGTAATCGCTTTTAAGATTAGAACACCTCTCATCCAGTCACGTCAGTTCAATATATCTTCTGGCCCCACACTCAAGGTTAACTTGGCAGGTTTTTGGCATAATCAGAAACTGAAACAGGCTCTGTGGCGCAACGGTAGCGCGTCTGACTCCAGATCAGAAGGTTGCGTGTTCAAATCACGTCAGGGTCAATATTTGTGTTTCATCAAAGAATG